TTGCGTGCGGTACACGGGGTCGGGACTCGGAGATCGCCGATCGTTCTTGCCTCGTCGAGTGCATTGATCCTCTTTGTATTTACCGTGTCTTCCTCCGCAACAGCCATCACCAAGTCGAGAAGCCACTGTTGCCTTTATACAAGTTTCGTTCACCGTATCGTCTATAGCGTTTTGTCGAACAGGCGCGCGTCGATTTGCGGGATAGTCTCTATAAAMCGAAGCCGGCTCATCGTCGTCATCGTCATTCAAAATATCATAGTCGACATTCTGTCCCGGTTGACACGAGAACAGCGTGGGCATATCGAACATACAATTTTCGCTCGGTTGATACGATAACTGCAAGGGTTTGCCGTCCATCCCTTTCTTTTTCGAGATTGTTGGATCGAACCGTTTAAATACAGGGTATTGTTGTCGCGGTTCGTCTAAGTGTTTCTCTACCGCGCGTCTGTGAGCGGCTATGAATTCAGGATCGTTCAGACCCAGTTTCTCCAGCAGCGCTTGCGGCAGYGACATGAAAGCGTCATAGTTCATGTTAGTAAACAGGCGTTGATATTCATCTGCGCCGTATCCGTAATGTTGTAAAAACGAACGCACTCTGGACGCTGAGTCGCAGGACATTGTCAACAATCACCAAATCAAAACACGACACGCGCGTCGTCTAACGGCCGGAGAAGAACGACTAACGGCTTTCGTGTTTTTGTCCCAACAAAGCGGATTAGTTAATACGTATAATAGACCGTTTAAGTATTTTGTTTCTGCCGCTTGCGTGTATTAACGATTGAAACTCTCTACAAACGGCAGTTGTTTTCACCAATTGCGTGTTTGTGCTAGAAGTCGCGATGTTGAACGTGGAATCTTCGGAACAATTTTTTCCTGCGGCGTGTGGAATATCTCTCCTCGAGGACGCAAAAGCCCGGTCCGCGGCCGCAAACTCAACTGCCAATACGGTGTCTTCGGAAAGACCGGTCGCTCGCGCGATCGCGGCCAGACGTGAAACGGCAACCGAAACATTCGATTCTGTATTCATTGCAGTACTTGAAGCGATATCGCACAACCGAACAAATGTTCTGTCACCCGTCATATTTAGAGAAAACATGCGCAGCGTTTACCACATACTGCGAGGTTTGGAGCTCGTGGGATACGACTTTGATATAACGAAACTGTACGCTGTAACCGACACGCCAATGAGCGCCATACGCGCCGATCGGGGAGTTGAGTTTCAAAGTTTAGTCCAAAAAATGTACGCCTACTTTGGCGATAATCCTACAAAAAGCTGTAATACACAATATATAGCTGATATAACATCGGGATCTTTAGCCTGCTGTAGGAATATAATCAAGGCATTTATTATATTGGGTCTTGTTGATAAGAACGGATGGCTTTAC